GCGGCCATGATTGTTTTCACTCCGAAGTGCGCTTCGGAGGGCCATACATCCCGTTTGGAACGCACCGATTTAGGTCTTCTTCTTCTTCTTTGGAATTTTTGGCGTATTCCACATCGTACGCACATACAGCCACCAACTGTTTATATACATACACGGATGATAGTCCCGTCTCTATTCATATTTTCATTTCTTTTATTGTTAATTTTATTTCGGGTTCATCCAAGCTGTACTTCTAGCTGCTGTGTGTTCAGCTCCCATGCCAGAAAACCCGCCTTGTGTGTTCCCCTATTCCTTTGCTTTATTTATTTATTTAACTATCAAATTTGTTTGTTTAATCCTGTTTCTACTATATATATTTCATTACTATTCTTTGATTAATACCTTATTTTAATCCTTTTCCTAATATCCAATTTATCTTCTTTTTTTCTTTATTATTTATTACCTTTTAAATTCTTTATCATTTTAATTCTCTCTATTTTATATTTCCGACATTTTAATATTACATGTTCAACGGTTTTTATTACCACACAAAAAGCACATTTACCTGTAATATGTTTACCTATTTTGTATAGTGATGCATTTAGTCCTGTGTGTCCAAATTGTAATCTATTTAAAATCGCCTCATCTTTCCTACATCTTCCAAAATTGTATACTTCTTTAACTGATTAATTCATTTGATAATAAAATCTTCCTATATCAGCTATGTCCCACTTCTTCTGCCACTCTTTTTGAATATTTGATTTAATAATTGATTTAATTTCTCCTCTTCCTAATGGGACATCAATCTCGATTTTTTTGGTTGCCTTTTTTGCTAACTGATCTGCTATTTCATTTCCATTAATTCCTGTGTGAGCCGGTATCCAATACAATTTGAGATCTATAATCATACTATTTAGAGATTTCAATGTTATATATATATATATAATTTAAAATGTCTTCTCTAATGGATTTATATGAAACCAAACTATTCAGCGCTGACATAGAGTCTGAACATATAGCTACTCTATCTGGTCTAACATCTTCTATCCACTGTAATGCAACCATTATTGCAACTAATTCTACTGTATATATTGCTAAATTATTTGATAATCTTTTGAATATGCTTATTTCGAATTCTGGAATAAATATTCCTATACCTGTGTCACCCCAGATTCTGGTACCTTTGATCCGTCTGTAAATATGAAAAATAATTTATATTCCTCTATACTTTAGTATTATTTTCATATATTTCTTTATTTTTGTTTAAATTTATATCTACATTTGCCATAGGAAATAACCATGGTGGGATTATTCCTAATGCTACAGACGGTCCTAACACTATTTTCGATCATTTATATTTATCCACTTCACCTTT